CGCAGCCCCAGTCTTTCCAATATTTCCGCATTATATATTTTACCTCTAAGGATCTTAAAAAAATATAGCGTGATAGTAAGGTCCCTCCTTACCTCTAACTTGTTGTATCCAACCATGCCCAAGACAAACAAAGTTGGATACATTATTGGGTAAAATGGGTACACTCCATACAACCTCATGTATATGTATCTCATAAATTTATTTTGGATGCGCTCCACCATTAGAGAATATTTTTTTTTCTTGTGGGGCCCAAATCATAGAATTATATTCCAAGTGGCTCCTAACAAGTGCATTATACAATGCCATTACCGCTTTTATATTTGAAAATCCTTTGGCCATACGCAAAATAAACCCTAAATTCCTATAAGCTTTTTTACAAATTATTTTTATGTTATCCCGAAAATTTAATTCCACGTTTAAATGAACCCCTAGGTCTTTTATTTCGGCTACTCTTGGAATTGGCTGTTTCTCAATGTTATAATTATAAAGAATCGGTGTCCGTGCTCTGGAAAAAGAAATAACAGCACATTTTGCAGAATTAAGCTGCAGTCGATTTTTCCTGCACCAATTTACTACCCGATCAATATCCTGCTGCAATCGTAGACAATCTTCCTCACTATTAATCGGCCGTGATAATTTAAGATCATCCGCGAACATTAAACATTTTGCCTCTTCTACTACCCCTGGTAGATCATTTACCATTAACAAAAATTCTAAAGGTCCTAAATTGCTCCCCTGCGTCACGCCAGACCAAGTGTAATAGTTCCTAGATTTAATGCCATCATATTCCACATACTGCTCCCTATCTGTCATGTGACTTGCCATAAACCGAATCAATGACGCAGTGAAGCCAACTTTTGCTAATTTCATCAAGAGCACGTCGTTATCGACCGTGTCAAATGCTTTTCGTATATCAAAGTAGGCTGCATCAACTTGTCCTCCACTATCCACAACTGGTACTATGCAAGTCAAGAAGCTTAATAAGTTGCTCGTGGTACTTCTTGCTGCTCGAAATCCATGTTGTGAGTCAGAGAGTTGAGATCCTACCTGATCAAGAATGCACTTTTGAAGCGCTGACTCCATTACCTTCGCTGGTGTTGACAAAATCGCCACCGGTCTATGATGGTCTACTTTGTCACTTTGTCTACCTTTAGGTATCGGAACCACTTTGCTAATTTTCCACCGATCTGGGAATGTTGACGCTTTAAGGCTAAGATTGAATATATGGAGAAGGGGTTCCGCCAATACTGCCCGACAGTCTCTAAAGATATACGGAGGTATACCATCAGGCCCCGCGGACTTTTTTGGTTTTAAACGTTGTAAGGCATTCCGTACCTCCTCTAATTGCAACTTATCTACGTGAACCAATGTTCCCCCACTTCCACAATCCGCCTCCGCAATAGCTTTCTTAACGTCAAGCTTGGGCTTTTGCGTAACATACACTGAACTGAAATAATTAGCGAATTCCTCTACCCTCTTATCCATAGTTAACTCTTTTCCGTTACTAACAATACCCCTAGGCTGTCTTTCAGCCCTTTGGCTCTTTACAAATTTCCAAAATGACCTAGGATTTTCTATGACGTTCGTTTCAATAACTTTCTGATACCTATCAAATGCCTTAGCAATCCCTACCTTTACCTCAGCCCTACACAAGCTAAACGCTTGGTAGTCACCTTGCAACTTAGTTCTCTTATAACGCTTATGTAGCTTAGCTTTCCATTTTATTTTACGAATAATTTCATCATTATACCATTCCGGATACGCGTGTTTTGAGTGAACATATCCTTTTAGGGTTTCTTTTGGCACACAATCGTCAAAGATAGTATTTAAAATATTATAAAAGCTATCTAGACTCGCATCTAAGTCCGAAGAAAATATACTAGACCAGTCTGCTGCTCCTATCCTCGAATACAACATATCGTAATTGGCTTTTTTGAAATTTCCATTTCAATGGTCTACCTACCTTATCTACCGCCTTCGTATATTTCACCAGGGACGCCGCCGATCGGGGCCATACACACACTTGAAGCGGTGGATGTTGTTTATCCACTGACACCAGAGGCTGATCAGATACACACACATTTACGCTGCTAACCCCCCAACCTTGCATAAAACCAGATCCAAAATTCTTTCATTAATATTTTCTACTGAATTGCACTGACTGAATTCACAATAATGTAAAAAATAATCCTCAAAATAATTTCTAACCAAATTAGAACAAGAGTATAAATTGAAATCCCCTAACACTAATACACTACTATATTTGTGGCAATAATCTTCTATTATTTTAAATAATAACAAATATTCATGATCATTACTATTAGGAGGAATATATAGGACACACACAAAAAATAAAAACCTACTTTTTAAAAAAACAGTCGCACAAACAAGTTCAAATGCCCGACACTCGATATATACATCGGTAGGCAATATCACTCGCCTCATCTCTAAACGCGGAGTGGCTATCAAACAGGCTCCACCCTGCTTGCGGCCGTCCGCGCGATCACATCGTAGTATAGTAAAGCCTATTGGAACCAACTCAGCATCAGCTATTGACTCATTACAGCCTGTTTCTGTGACAGCAATCAAGTCTGCCTCTGCTGTCAACACACTTGCGTTGAAGTTAACTAATTTAGTCCGAAGCCCCCTTACGTTTTGATAGAATATATCAATTGGTTTACTTCCACCCTTCTTTACTTTTGTTCGATCTCCGAAACCACACCCAATCACAAAATTCTATATTTACTGGCCAATTTTCAGGTTGACAGAGTACCTTATATTCACTTTCTGGTACACCAATAATAAAAGAAGCATAGTCCCTCTCTGTTTTATGATTTATCTTTTCTACGCTAACTGTCACATTTTTGTTATATATTTTTTCACATAGCTTTCCAAACATTCCACCGACGTTTCCTTTTTTAAGCGCCATACGTGTAAAAACTTCTTCCGCTCGGTCCCTTCAATCTGTATAGCGTTTCTGCAATCACCCTTTTTACCTCTTTTCGAGGGTATTTGCTCCGGGGACTGTCATCGCCATTCAACTTTGCCTTGGTTTCCAACATATTACACTTTTTCGCAATTTCTCCTTTACTTGCTCTTTAATCGTTGGCAATCCGTTTTGGTCTTCAATTTGTATTGACGCCGACGTCGTGGCCTCACATTCCTTCATGGACGCATCGGTAATTTGGCTATTATGTTTTAGGACATCCACAAAAGATTGCACAGGTGTCGTTGTATTCAAACCGGTCGGCTTATTTATTATTTCCTCGCCAAGTAGATCGCATTTTGTTTTTTTTTCGACTACCCTCATTATTTCCCGTAATTCTTTCAATTCCAATTCAGCATTAATGAATCTATTTTGTAGCTCATTATAGTCTTTTTCTGCTCTTCAAAGCGGTTCAGCATGTCTTGCCTAAAATCCTTCATTTCTTTAAGCAAGTAACTGAAATAATTCTCAACAAGAACATCATTTTTTTGAGGACTTACGCTTTTCGGTGTTATAGTAATTTGAGACCCTTTACGATTAATTTTATCCACCTTGGAAGCGTAACACAAACATTCTGGACACCTCCACCAATCTTTCTCGTGCTGATTCATCATCACCAATTTTTCTTTGCTTATATTTAAAACACTGTATATGATACATATTACCGCATTTAAACTTAGAACACTTCAAGTACAAAGAATTATTAATTCTGTTTTTACAGTTCTTGCATTCCATTTTTGCACCCAAATTAAAACAACTGACTACTTAGTCAAACAAAAAATACGTCCGTCTACCGTCGTCGCACGGCGAAAATATGTATTTATATGTCTATCTGTCTATAATATGTATGTATATCCGTTGCCTAGTACCCATAACACAAGCTTCACCAGCTTAGCATGGGACTCGGTCAATTGGTGTGAATTGTCTTTAAAAAAAAAAAAAGCAGTAGGCGTGATTGCAGATAGTACCGATGAAATCTTTCTTTCTTTGTAATCCTTGAGTTACAAGAACTAAGTCTTCTTTACGTACCTACGGCTCGCTTATCTGCTACTTTTAATAGGCTTTCTCGCTTTTACAACTTGATTACTAAATACTAACATTGATGAAAATATTGATATATTTTACAAAAATTTTCCTACTTACCGTAACTTTGTTTATCATGTTCTTTATGAGGTTTAAGTTTCTATTTAGTTTTAGTTATTGTTATAATTTTTTTTTATTTGCTTGCTTGTTTAATTTTTTCCCCTTGCTAGCTTGCTTATGTTCAAGTAAAATTGATGTGTATGTGTGGTGATGTCATATTTTCTTGTATAATTTTATGCATAGACGTTGTTTTAGAACAACATAAATCACCTCTGATGAAAAACCTTTTTATTCCATCGGGTACTTCAGTAATAATATTTCTCCTAAATTTAAGTGGTTGTTTTCTGATTTCTAATATAACTCACCACTACCACCATAAGACCTGACCAAAATTTTAATAAAAATTAATTTGTTGTTGTAAAGCATGTAGTAATTCGGCTTTTTTTAATAGTTATAGCAATGGAGCAACCCATATACTTTTTATATAGCCAGAGTATTAAACAACAATGTGTTAATGCGACACATATATACGTGGGCGCGCATCTACGCAACGAGCAGGGGTTTCGCCATGAAGAGTCCTGTGACGGTGACACGGTGATATGGTTTTATAATTAATTCTAAAATAATAATAATACAATACAACATAACATTACAATTATATTCCTTTAAAACTAAGCTTAAATTTGTGTTCAAATATCGTCTTCATGAGTCTTAACAACGTAACTATATTCACAAATATCTAAGTTATCTATTGTACAAACAAGAGATACATCTAAAGATTTGTTGTATTCTATGAGAACAGAACTTCTACGTGAAACTGGTAAACTTATAGATTTTCAATACATACAAAGTCATATATACTCTCACTCCAGTACGAAGCTTACTGTTTACATTATTCAATCTTCTAGTATAGTAAATTATCTACTAGATATCAATAAACAATATTGCTAATATAATTTAACCCTGCATGGTGATAGATCCATCCATAGTGCGGGCCAACATCAGTGTATATTACGTAATACTTTGGATTGCAAATTGTTTCACCATTGGAAATCCCACATTTTGACAGGACGCCTCGTAGGAACCAACTCACTTTGTGGTCTGGTTGGACTGTGGATATTGATAAGCCTCCACCGCTATCACCTTGAAGAGGACTTGTACCTGAAAGTTTACGAATTTATTTAACAAGTATGCTTGAATATATACTATAAACACTTTTTTTATTACTAAACTAAATTATAATTTGTTTGGAATTGAGCAGTGTTGGCCTAGTGGCTTCAGCGTGGGACTCTCATACCTGAGGTCCCCGGCTGTGCACCAATGACTTTCTTTCTATGTGCGCATTTAACATTTTTTCGAACGGTGAAGGAAAACATCGTGAGGAAACCGACATGTCTTAGACCCAAAAAGTCGACAGCGTGTGTCAGGCACTGGAGGCTGATCACCAACAACTACATATTCAATTTAAAAATGATGTTGAAACAGATTCAGAAATCTGAGGTCAAGACATAAAGAGGTTGTAGCGCCACTGATTTTTTTTTAAATTATAGGGAATAATGACATAAAAATATAAGCAATGTGCATTTGCCCTTTATCTGTAAATATTTAATTATAATTCAAATTCAGCTAAAAGGTTATATTCGTGGACTATTTGGCATTGTAATAGTTATAAGTGTAAGTACTAAATACAATAAGAAATTTAAAGAACATATCAATATCTATAAAATAATAAATGTCCAACCGTGCGAAGCCGGGACAGGCCGCTAGTATTTTAATAAATAAGCAATCAGCAGTGTTTGTTTTCTGGCATGCAATTCCTTTAGTGTTCCAATTACGGATGTGCACTAATAGATTTTCTTTTTATGAGCGCAACTAATACTGGCCACTTCGATAAAGGCAAACATCGTTATGTCCATTCTCAAACCCTAGATTTCCTCATAATAGGGTTGTGCGCACAATTTTATTATTTACTATTAACTACAATTAGGTGATATGAATCTCGCAAATGAAGTAATATATGAATCCAACCGGCATTTGGGTCGAGTCCAGCGCAGAATGTGAACTCGTTCAACAAACTTGTGTACAACTGGGGTGAATACGAAATGCATGTCGTGTCATTCTGCACCACCGTGTACGTTGACCTTAGCGTGTCTGATAATTGATTCTCCTCAGTTGTCCCGAAGCCCACCACCTGAAATCAGATTTACTTGATTGATTCCCTTTAGAACTTTAGTGATACCCAATTTAACGAACAAATTAACATTCTTTATAGGTACTGAAGTCTTGTATAAATAACATTAATAAGCAAGTTGTAACCTTAGTAGAGTTGAATAATGTACTCAAACTCAAATGAACTGGTTGCTAATCTAGATATATAGGTATATTTTTTAAAGAAATCAACGTTGACGTAGCTCACACACTGTTTCACTGTATGTTAATTATTTATTTTTTATAAAGAATAATGTAAAATAAAGTTTTAATTTTTGTAAATATGTAAGCACCATGTATAGTTATCTCCTGAATTGTTTTTATAACAACATGCGCCTATTTTATTTTAGTTTATTTTTGTTCTAGGTACATGGTCTTCACATATATTTGTCAAATCAATGTATACAAAATATTGTAAAAACTATTTTTTTGTAAGTATGGAGTTTCTTGCCCTTTCTTCTCCATATGAAACTTCTTTTTTGGAGGGGGCAACTAGTCATTTTTTTATATTTTTAAATTGTAATTTTGACTTTCAAAAGTGCCTTTTTAAAAGGCCTAATTTGACGTTAACTTTGAAATATAAAAGTATTAAATTAACTTCGTATGTCAACAAAAAGGACAATATTTATTATCTGTTGTTGATGAATTTATTCTCAATTGGCATAATTAGTGTACCATGTGACCGTTCTTATTTTTTTTTTAATTTTCGTAACTTTCGAAATCCACCTTCACGCAGTATGCATTAGCAACTGGCTTAACTGGCTATGGTGATGATTTTAAATATTATTTTTAATAGTACTTTTTATCCTTCAGTAAGTGTATTGCCTTTTTTTAGTATAATACATATTGTTATAAGAAATACTAAGACTATCTGCCCAACATACCAGAGAATTCAATATAGTTTCGTAACAAACTTGCATTCGCGTACTTGTAGACTTACCACAGCCATTTGTCCATACAAATTGCTTTTGTCATACGAAGGGCCCCAAAGACATATCGGTTGCACATAATCAGTATATCTGAATGCATTCACTCGAATAACGGCCAAATCCGCAGTTGACTCGTCCGACTTATAAGCGGGGTTCACTATTACATCGACTGCCTGAAAGAACAAATGGAAACATCAAATATATTACGGTTTATAGAAAACGAACGAACGTTGTTTAATAAGTTTTTTTTTTTAATGTAACAGGAGGCAAACGGGCAGAAGGCACTTGATGTTAAGTGATACCGCCGCAAATTGAAACTCACATAGTCCGATAGCTCGCCAGTGTCTTGCAGGTATTTTAAGAATTATTGGTACGCCTTGAAGGAAGAGTGTACTATTAAGTCGAATTGGTTCGGAAATACTTCAGTTTGCAGTTTACCACATGGCGGTGGTGCGCGGTAAAAAATTCCTTAAGAAACGCTCAGTTGTGGTAGATTCTAGTATGGTTATTTAATAACTATTAGGTTCTAAGGCATAATTAAAATATGTGAAATATAAAATATCAGGTTCGCTCAGTGCATACGATGTTATCTGGCTTGTTTATTCGATTATTTCCAGCGTTCGTTTTTAAACATTTAACATTATTTGCCGAGAAAAGAAGGTGCTGCTCTTCTTTGACCTAAATGGAGGATTCTAGACCAGTGTAACCACTATCTGGAAGGCTGGAAGGCCCAAGTGGCCGAGTGAAGTTGTATATATCCTTAGCGGTAGGAATTAATTTTAGCGTGTCAGCGTTATTTGTAGCCGACGATAAAGTTGTGGCTATTTATTTTTTAAATTGTAACGTTTTGATAAAAAGTGGTACTAACGTTAAGTAATTGTCTCCCGGGTTGATTGAATAATTTTAAATTGTCCACTCCTGCTTCAATTAGTAGACGACTAATATGGATGGGCAATGAGTTATAGAAAAGGCAATGCGCCGCTGTAAAAGAATTGAAGGGTTTATAAATTAAACTATTTAAGGCAAGTACATTGAGTCTCCAATCCGAAATGTTTTGACGGGAGTCTAATGTACCGCTACATAGACATATGTTTAAATGATTTTATTTGGGGAATGTACAGGCGTTAACTACATTACTTATTTTTGAGAAGCGATGAAACGCTTTTATTTTGATAATATAAAAGGTAAAGATTGAAGATGCAAATTTCATTTATACTTAATTTAATATGGAATTATCGACACTTTATGAGTGTACCTGTTAGAACAGCAGTTCTCGATATTATATTTCCCCCACACTGGTATCTGGCGTATATAGAGATGTTTTCCCTGATCAGCACAGCCACGTGCCAGGGCCAGTCGCCAGCTTTCGCGTCAGTCTTTATCGAACTTAGTTCGGCGTTGTGGAGCGCTCGGCGCCCGCAAACTTGACGATAATACTTGTCGTCTGGTTGCGTCGCGTTGTAGGACTGAATATTTAGTTCATTCTAAAAGGGAAATTCATTTATTAGGCGTACTAAAAGCGACGACATCATAAAGGATTCTATGAAGAAATGGATGGAAAAAGCAAAGAATAAATCCAATTGGAAAGTTTAGTAGGAGGCCTTTATCCAAAAGGAATCCATACTGAGTGTATAATAACATAAGTAACACACAACTGATTTGTTATTACTGTATGGAATTAAAGTGGTTTTATAATTATTATTATTATTAAGTAATAAAACCATATAATAACGAGATTTATCAAGAAGAATTAACATGACTAAAGTACTTTAGAAGTGCGAAACTAATTATCTACAGAAACATATAAACGTTTCAACTTTATAAGAAATATACCGTCATAAAGTTTATTAAATAAACTGGTAATTTTATTTACATATTTTGCTTTATGTTCTCAACTTTAAATTTGAGAGATATAACTCTCTATATTACAAACAAATACAGCTTAAAGGTTTAAATGAAAAGCCATTTTAAATATAAATTAACTTTCTATTAAAAATAATTACTATAGTGAAATTAGCGAATGAGTCTGAAAAGAAAGCATAGGCTATAGAAATGCTTCTTTACTCTTTACTTTATAGTTTTGACTATACTAAAACTTTTAATTCGATTCCAGATTTGACAATTTCAGTGTTTCAACGTTATGACAAGTACTAAATAGTGACGTTGCGAAATTATTCGATACGGAAATGGAATATTTCCGTTTATAGTAGTATATCTAAACAACTACTACTTTAATGGAAACTAAGAATATCAGGATATTAAATAATTCTGAACGGATAATTAAGTTATGACGATTAATTTGATTAAGGATCTGAGAGTTTTCTTTAATAATTGTGTGTGAAATGAATTAAAAAATGTGATCATGAAGGAACATGAAAAACTTTTTATAAAATAAAGCAGCGGTTAAATTAATAAATAATTATGTTTTATCTAAATAAAAATCAATAATTTAGTTTTTAATTGACACACCAATATTATGATTACACAAACATAAATCGCGATTGTTTATCAATTTTTGTGTTCATCACTACACTATTATATTATGTGGTATCATTATTTTACAAAATGACAGTAGCTAATGTCAAATGTGGAATCGAAATATAAGTTGTGGTATACATTACCTTGACAGCAGGATTGCACAGTGTATAGTTATTTAATTTTACTGTGACTACATTTGGGACATTTGAAACGTCACCTATAACAGCTATGTAGAAAAAGTAACGAGGCGGAAGCACTCCCCGCGGCTTAAATAAGAAACTATGCCAGTTGTTCCTTGCGTATACTGTACTGTTGTTCGAGGCCTGAAATTGTTTTGTTAGAATAAATTTTAAACGCTTTGCACCACTACGGTAATACCGATCGTTTTTGGTAGTAAAAATAAACAATAAATCAATGGCACTACAACCTTTTTAGGCCTGGGCCTCAGATTTTGTATGTGTTTCATGATCATAAGGTAATCTAATAGGCAAGTAGGTGATCAGCCTTCTGTGCCTGGCGCACGCCCTCGACTTTTTTGGGTCTAAGGCAAGGCGGGTTCCTCAAGATGTTTTCCTTCACCGTTCGAGCGAATGTTAAATAGAAAGAAAGTCCAGTGCACAGCCGGGGATTGAACCTACGACCTCAGGGATGAGAGACGCACGCTGAAGCCACTAGGCCAACTACTACGTTTTTGGTAGTATCAATTTTTTAACAAAAATATTTTATTTAATTATAGAATACTAACATTGTTTTCGGATTTAGCATTCAGTGTTAGCCCGTAACCCGTAAAGCGACCGCTTGCTTCTGACTGTTTACCAATAAATTTTGTTTTCTATAGACACAATTGACTGTTCTTTGGTCAGGCACAGAAGGTTGACCAACTAACTAATAAATTATCGATGGTAACTCATGCACAGTTCCTAATAAATTGAAATACTAAAAATAAAAACTGGAAATGCCACAATTTGATTATTTTTCCTCAAGTTCTGGAGCTTAACAACAAATTCAAGAAAAGAAATAAATATTGAAAGAATTTATTCCTTCCGATAGACGTATGTTAAGCATTTTTAGAACCTTCAAGGTATTACGGGGTCGTATTAGGAGCCGATACTTGACAAAATTACATTTGGTTCGGTCGATAAGTCATTGATATCGGAAAATGAAACTGAGTTTGACCTGTTGCTGGGACCTTTCTATTATATCATATTTTTTACTTTCTATTATATTATGTTTTTTATAATCAGATATTAGTTTTAATTAGATTAAATTTAGAAAAACTTCGTAGAAAACATTAATTTTAATTATTTGCACGTGATTTGTATTTTTTTTTAAATTTATTTATATTTTCACGCCTGTTCCCGAACCTGACCTGACCTGACTACTGATCTTCCCTTACTACGGCTCTGACATTCGGTACCTCTCTCGGTTCATCCACTTTCACAACATTCAACATGCATGCTTTATATACCTGAATTTTTTATAGGTACGTATAAAAATAACAATAGAAAAGTTTTAGTTTGAGATAATAGTAAAACGAACAAGTTTTTTTACTTTTTCTAAAATCACGCGCATCTTTAAAAATGTTTGGAGTCAAATTAAATGAAATAAAAACACTAAGCAAAAATTATTCCAAAACATCTTTAAGTTTTTTTTTTATAGAAAAGGGGAAAACGAGCAGGAGGCTCACCTGATCTTAACTGATACCCATGAACACTCTCAAGACTGCGTTGCCGGCCAAAAGATTTCTTCAAAAAGGTAAATTCTTAAAAATAATTGGTACGCTCTTTTTTTGAAGAAATCTGAGTGGAATTGGTCGGAAATACTTCGGAGGGCAGCTGGTTCACCAGCAACAGACCACACATTCTTGAAGTATTTTAAGATACCGCACAAGAAGCCGTTGCTTTTAAATAATAGCATACATTTTGCCTAGAAAACATTCCAATAAGCAAAATAATTTCTCAGATTGTAGAACACAGATTAATCTTTCCACAGGATTCAGATCGTAAATAAATAAAGGAAATTTTAAACAAACGCGATTTTTTAAGCGATATAAGTCATTAAACTCGAATAGCGTGATTCGTTTGATTGTCATTGGCCAACATTCCTAGACCAATCACAAATTCGCGACACGAACATTCGACCAATCAGAATCAAACATAAAGCTATCGTTTTGCCTTTCGCTTAACATAACACAACACCAAACGTGATTATAGTAAACGTGACTTACCCCAAAAATCCTTATAGGCTTATCGAAGGTGATTTCAATATTAGCATCAGTTATATTGGGATATAAACTGAAATTAATCGTCCCCTGCCACGATATATTAGTTAATTTATCAAAATATAACACTCCCAGACTGCATGGGTTGTATCTTGTCAACATAGGGCCATGGATGGCTACAGAGTTCACGCTAATAGCGAAAAATATCAAAACAAAATACACAACTTCCATATTAAAGAACCGATTGAACACTAAAACTGCGATAAACAAAAATCTACACAGTATGTTTATGTAAAGTGCTACAAACCACTCGCTTTGTTAAATTGCCGTGGTCACTCAAAGCGCGCTACATTTATGTAAAAGTTTTCAGTGAATCACATACATCTGTTACAATTAATTGGGTTAGATTTTATTAACTAAAGCATGCCCTGATTCTGTCTTTTGTGCTTCGTTACGTCTCTCAAAACGTGTAGCAATTACAATGATATTGTGATCTTCTTGTTTTACGAACGTTTAGCATTTTTAGCTGGGGTTAAACGTTATAATTCTACTACCGTTATAGATTATAATTAGTAGTGACTACTAACTATATTGATGGAAGATTTATGTATTTGTTGCAAGGGAAACATTCTAATATCCTATCTCGTATTCGGATTATTTATTTATTTATTTATTAGGGAAACAAAAAAGATACATCTTTATACAATAATTTTTTTTTTTTATAAGTCCGGAGAACGACAAACATACTGGTAGCTATAATAAAGAAGAAAGATACGAGAAAAATGCGGAACCCAATGTTGGTTCTGGGAGTCGGAAGGTTAAAAGTTCAGTGCGAGCGTAGAGACCTGGCAGTAACATTGAATGTTATTCAGAAAAAGACACATATCCAAATCTGTTTCTAATCAATAGAAGTCTGGTTTACTGTGGACTAAACTTACTCCGAGACAAAAAATCCTTCTCCACTATTACATTAAATATATACAAACAGATATTTCGTAACTTTATTATATTATTAAAATAGAGGTTCGAGCAATGACAAAATACACGTAATATGACCTACTGACTTAACAGGTGCAAAGAAAAATGGCTTTGTGTACTATGTGGATCATATACTGGCAATTGTCTTAATAACTGTTTGTTTTTATGAATCAACGCAAAAATATAACTATTTTGCATGAGTCCACCAGTGCCCTTACAAATCCCTGTACTCAAGGGAATATATTCACAACACCATAGATCTAGTCGGAAGCTAATATGATATTTTCAACGAAGAGCGATTCGAATCGTCAACGACCAGTCACTTTCCGAGCGGCTTGATCCCTTGGCGTTGCGTAGAGATGTGGGATCTCTCTGCATCTTCTACCGCATTTACCATGGAAAGTGTTCAGAGGAGTTTTTAGCACTAATATCTGCAGCTTAGTTTCATCATCGGACGTCAAGACAGAATACAAAATACCATCCGTATCACCTTGACGTCCGTTGTTCCACATCTAAGCGATTCTTAATGCAATTTCTGCAACTATGTGGAACCAGCTGCCCACTGAAGTATTTCCGAACCAATTTGACTTAGGGTCCTTCAAGAAAAGAGCGTACCAATTCTTAAAAGGCCGGCAGCGCGCTTGCGAGCCTTCTGGCAGTGCGAGTATCCATTGACGGCGGTATCACTTAACATCAGGTGAGCCTCCTGCCCATCTGCCTCCTGTAACATAAAAAAAAGATCTTTAATTTGAAACCAGTCGTTAACTAACCGGGTATTTAATTCATTACTGTTTTAGATATCTTTGGGTAATTTAATAGATGACTCTGAGTAGGCGGTTCACGAAAGCCCTGCCTCTATGCGTCTGGATCTCTCCCATGATAAAAGCCCATAAATACGTTTTTGGTGAGTGCCTCGACTAGACGGCTCCTCAAGAGGCCAATTTCAAACGCAATCAATCCTAGTACGTGTTACGACATAACAGTAGTAATACCAAATTACCTCAATAAATATATCATTCATAAGTATGTACATAAATTTTTTAATCATACTATGTAATTTGACCTCTGTCTTTTATGTTTTTATCATGTTTTGTTTTGTTGATAATAAAAACCCAGGAATTACTTATGTAAACAAAGTATTATTCCTCGTGATTCTCAGAATAAGTTTACGTAGTTTTTGTACTTTACAACTATTATTTATTGACAAATTCCTTGAAAATAATGATGGTTAAATTAAATTTTATCAACGACAAATCATGAAAAATAATTAAAATAAATGCTAAAAAATAACAAAGGCTGTAGTGGTCTTAGAATACGTCTGTTCCTATGATCTATCTATGGTCTGTGCCTGACACACGTAGATTATAACATGCTGGAGTACTCATGATGTTCACCTTTACTATTCGGCATACAGAAACAAAAATCCATCATCATCGTATATACTACAAATTTTTGTTAATTCAGACATTCTTTTCTCAATTAATTTAAAACTTTAAAATAAATATTTTACGGTTAAAAAACAACGGTATGGCATTATTTTGTCAAAGCATACCAACCTTTTCAATTTAGAGTTAAAATTAACGAAATACTTTTAAGAGTATTTCAAAATTTCTCTTTGTGAAGGGTGTATGGAAATAGTCGGTACGTAGATATTTGAGTAGCTTGTGCCTGATTAGATATATTTATACATTATATGTATTTAAAAGTATTCTTTCATTTCTACATCAAAATGTTGGTCTAAAAATGTATACAAAATCAAGTTAAGAGATTATATTTACGCGAGTATTACACATTAACAAATTTTTTTTCTAGTCCATAAATCAAGTTATATATTTTGTATTCGTCACTTAAACGTGTGCATTTTATTCTCTTTGAGTTAACTATGAACACACAAAAAACTGCAAAGTTGCGAATCTATTGGAATTTAGCATAAGAAATACATATTGTGCCACAGAGTATAAATCTGAATTTTTCTAAGATTTCCAACTTTTAACCTATACACTTGTGTGACATTATTTATTGTTTATTATCTGTGATCGCTGTTTAATGTTAGCCGACAGTTGTTTATGGTAATACAGCTTAGATAATAAGCTGTATTATTATCAAAGCTGTAATACCATATATAATTAGTACATATGCTAAATAACCATAAACCATAGATTTTATACATTTTCACAAACACGAAGTAAAAAAAAAATTAAAATACATTTAACCAAATGCTAAAAATAAATAAAAATACTCCATTATTATCGTAATAAGGAAACGCTGGTTTACTTTTAAATTCATCCATGTCGACACAAACTGTTTGTCTGTTTGCGTATCTATGGAGGTCCATATTATCTTGTGAAGTGCTGTCGAGGTAAAGTGGATTAGTTCAGTGGTTTCAAGTACTCTCGTCCCGATATCGGAGTTAACTATACTGCTGTATACATTCAAGAATCTATTAGTTATTTACGTAATCTTACTCTGTTATCTGTGGTATTTCTTATTTTCTAGCTCATTATTTCGCTAGCAATATATATTTCAAATAGCAGTATTATTGTATACAGTTCGGTTTAATACGATTCACTTATCACGATGATTAAACAATATAGGAAATCAACAATAACTTCAACTTTGGTCCGAGTAACGTAGAGGATTCTCTGATGGAGCAAAGGGCAAAAAATAATCTTATATAATTGATAAATCATTACAAATACTTTATAAAGGTAATATTCAGAGTTGAGACTTACCGCTAAGTATGACTCGCATTTGACATACATGAGTCATACATCGTTAATATAATTAAGAGATTATATTATTTTATAAGCAATTTTTGAATAATAAGAATAAATATTCAATAGCGGTCTAGAAATAATCTAGATAGGTAGAGTCTGGCTAATGAAAGAAGATAATTGAATTATATGAAAACTTTCGGATGGCAACACAGAATTTCTTAGATTAATATGATTTTATTTCTATTATATATTTTTTCCGAATAGTTATCAGGTATAATAGCGTAAACATTTAGAAAGTTTCATATTCAATGTGAGAGACTGTGATAACAGCAATAACTCTGATGAATCTATGCATATTGGTTTTTTGGATTGTGATGTTGATTATTCCGAATAAAGTTGTTTTTTTTATAATAAATATAGTTTTAGTTTTCCATGCAATGCTTTTTAAGTTAAGTGTATGGTAAAGGCTAAATACGTTACTATCAATTTAAAAAATAATAAAATAAAATCAAGTATCAAGTAAGTTTAATCCACAAAATATATCAAACTTTTAGGGATACCATACTAAAATTTTTTGAATTTGCCGCGCTTTTTCGTTATCTTCTTTCATTAGTTAACTTTAGTACCTATCGTAATTTTATTATTTTATATAACAATTATGTAGGTTTGTAACATTTCTCCTAATATCTATCACAGTGGTTATTAATTATAATGCAATTTGAAGATTCAAACTATGCAATTAGTATTGTTAATGAAATAATGATGTATCTACTAACAGATCGGCGATAAATTTATCGAAAAATACTACTAGAAGGGACATCAGTATTTTTATTATTTAGGCCTCTGTATCATAAGTAAGAGACTAAAGAGATTTAAGAAACGGCTGTTTATCAATTCGAGTTAATAGTAGTTTTTTTTTTGTATATCTGTTTCAATGATTTTTTTCGTTTTCTTATAGTTAAGGAGTTTAAAAATCCAGTAGAATCGTAAGGCGTAAACGACTTCAATTTTATAAATTACTAGCTGACCGGGCAAACGTCGTTTTGCCATGTATATCATTTATAATAAAAAAAATAGGGGTTGATCGTAGAGGGGTGAAAGTTAGGGGTTGTATGTATTTTTTAATAGAAAAATAAAAAATAAAAAAATTGTCTAAAAATTAGAAAAATTAAGGGTGGACTACCCTTAATATTTAGGGGGATGAAAAATAGATGTTGTCCGATTCTCAGATACCCAATATGTACACAAAATTTCATGAGAATCGGTCAAGCCGTTTAGGAGGAGTTTAACTACAAACACAGCGACACGAGAATTTTACATATTAGATGTAATTAAATAATATATTTATTTAAAAAACCTTACTGCAATTTAACTACATCTAACAGCTACGTCCATCATTGTGATTGACTGAGTTCAATAGTTTTTCTAAATAAACTTGTTATTATCCCAATAGTGCATTCTATGTGATATTCTCTATTAAACATTAACACATCTATTGTGTACAAAATATTGTATGTCGAAGCCGTTTCCAGAGTA